AAGAGGGAACAGCCTTGAAGAGGGAACAGCTTTGAAGAGGGAACAGCCTTGAAGAGGGAACAGCCTTGAAGAGGGAGCAGCCAAGACATGAAGAAAATGATGCAGGAGAGTACAAATCCTGAACACACCCTCAGGCATGAGCAGCATGTCCAGAATGTTTTTTCTTCCTGACATGCTGGTCAGGTTGAGCCACTTTGCTTTTTTTCTGCAACACCATCATCCCCATTGATTTCCTTGTAGCCTGGACCACTGGACCACTGTACACATAGGCAAAGGTCTGATCAGTGAGTTCCTCCCACACATGAGGATCAGGCGTGGTCGCCATGTCCTTGGACAGCTTAATTATGTATGCAGAGAACACTGAGGCAAAGTGGTCAGTGTATGTAGGCATTGTGGGAGTTCTGGACGTCGTTGTCAGCCGGGGGTGCAGTAGACTGCAAGCAGTTGATTCATTAGAAGCGTGCCGGGCTTCTTTATACCCTCAGATTCCAGATGGGAATCTTTTATTTGAGTCTTACCACTAAATGGGCAGTTCTTCCAGGAAGCTGCAACTGTCTGTCGGCTTGGGGAAGATGGGGAGCAGCTATTTTACTGTCCTGGTTGTTTCTGACATTTTACTTCCCTTTATAATGAATTCTGGTGGTCACAGTTACTACTGCAGGCCAGGGTATGTTGAGCCTGAGAGCAACACATGCACAGTCTACATGTTCATGCACACAGCGAGAGAGGTTGTCACCCTCTCCTCCTCATCTTGGGGGACTGATAAAGGTTTCATCATCATTATTCTCTGACACAAGGAGCTCCAGGATCTCCTTGTTGTACTTTTCATAGTCCAACTTCAGGACGTTCTTGACAAGTGTCGCTGCTGCAGCTAAGTCCAGCTGGGGACCAAGCTAGCATCTTGTTCAGCGAATACACCTTCGTCCCATTTGTCGCCATTGCCAGTAGGTACCCCGCTTTTCGACAAGGATGAGTCCTGCTGGAGAAACTAGTTTGAGGAGAGGCGTAACGAGATCAATGCTTCTGAGGACTGCGTGCAGGAGGTGTATTCCATAGTGAGACATCAAAATGAATGCTATGAATGAGAACTGCTTCTGGCCATTTAAAAAAGTGTACTCCATTAGATTGAATTATAAACATGGGGACGACTAGGATGGATTCAAAACAGATGTGGACAACATAGTAATGTGCTGATTTTGAAAGATTTGTACCCAAAAAACACCAGTTAAAAAACTGGCAGTGCAAATGAAATCCTAAAACTTGCTGGTCTAAAACACTCAGAACTCAATGAGCCGGCAACTGCAAATGATCCTGTTTTTGCCATTTTGAGTGTCCGACAGTAAAATACAACCAAACGTTTTTTAATCTAGTGGACTGCAAAAAAGAAAGGATGAGATCGATTTGTGACATGAATTAATCTACTTGCAGCCAATTTATGTTGGGAATGATTAAATCAGGATTTGTCTTCTTGTGTTGCTAAGTCCATTTGTTCTGAACTTAATTTCCTGTTTTATGTTACAGGGCAGATAAAACGTACAAAGTACAAAATAGATGTGGAGACACCAGACTCTATTTTGGTTAACACAAACCTGAGAGCAATCATCAACAAGCACACATTCTCCATTTTGCCTCCAGATTGCCAACAGAAGCTGCTCAAACTCCTGCCTGAAGTTGACCGACAGGTGGATTTATTATTTAAAGATGTATACCTTTGTCCATGTGTGGGTGTTTGTCTTTTGTTAGCAAAATATCTTTTCAGCCACTGGACAGATTAACTTTTGGAGGGATGGCCTCTACGGCCAGCTGGTTTTTAAAAACACAAACTGTCACATTTATAGTTAACTGTTTCATAAAGTATTACAAGATTTTACTGAGTCCTTACAGTTAGGGTGAAGTTTTGTTGTTCTCTGCAGGCGTGCTTGGATGGTCTCCTGAAGGTCACTAGCTCTGCCTTAAACAACGAGTTCTTCACCTCGGCAGCACAGTCCTGGAAGGAGAGGCTGGCTGAAGGTCAGTTTCAAGCCTTCACAACAGCCGGGACACCAGGGGGACCACGTGTATCATAAATTGTCTTTATCTTTGTTTATAGGTGAATTCACTCCTGAACTGCAGCTTCGAATGCGTCAAGAAATTGAGAAAGAAAAAAAAGTTGAGCATTGGAAGGAAGCTTTCTTTGAACGCTATTACGGAGAAAAGTAGGTTTTATTTTGTAACTATTTATCACCCGCTGCTCAAAGGTGAAGGCAAAGATAAAGTGTTGACCCTTGTCTCTGTTTGTTTGTATATATCTGTTGAAGTAACTCACAAACCACTGGACAAACTTTCATTTGGAAGTACGTCTACAACTGGTGAACGTTTGGATTCAGTCCAATACAAGATGGCCACCACAGCTAACTGACATTAGCCAACACAAAAATGATTGTAACTTAGTTCTGTGTCAATACAGAATATCATAACACACACACACACACATCATAACACACACATATCATAACACACACACATCACAACACACACACATAACACGCATAGACGTTTCCTGTAGTTCTTCGCCAGGTTTGGACCCTGCAGCAGGGATTCTGGCCCATTCCTCCACACAGATCTTCTCCAGATCTTTCAGGTTTTGGGCCTGTCGCTGGTCAACATCGAGTCTCAGTTCCCTCCAAAGGTTTTCTACTGGGTTCAGGTCTGGAGGCTGGCTTGGCCACTCCAGGACCTTGAAATGCTTCTTACGGAGCTACTCCTTGGTCCCCCTTCCTGCCACGTGGTCTGGACCACTTTTATCCACAAACGTTTCATGGTCTGCTGAATGAAATTGATCCTGATCCCCAGTTCAGGACCTTCTGACACCACAAGCAGCAGTTAGACGACTCAGGATCCAGGTTGTTGTTTGTGGCTGTAGATTTTTTGAACCGTTTATCAGAATATTTTTTTTGATGGGATTGTTTGTATCTGTCGGTTGCAGGACACAGTGTGGTGGTTTCTCTTTAGTTTAGTGTTTGCTCTGTCAAGTAAACGCAACGTCCAACATCAGGTTTATTTTTTATGATCTTTGAATAATATTATGAACCATTTTTAACATATTTGCAACATAATATCAGCAGTTTCTTTCAAAGCGCTGTTCTTTTTAGAGATAAAAGTCTTGATTTCTATGTTCTCTCATCTGTCTGTGCAGTTCAGGCCTCAGCTACGTGGAATCCAAAGAGCTGACAAAGGCCGAGTCAAATCAGAGGTCTGCCAGGTCTCGGACCCCCCCTGACCAGACGAGACCTGTCGCTAAAGCCCGAGCGGACACCAAGGACAGAAGTCAGATGGACTCTGCTGCTAATGACGTTAAATCAACAAAGACATTGCAAGAACCTCTGAAAGGACATCCTGGTCAGAAAGAGTCCATCTCAGAGCCCATGAGGACACGGCGCTCACATAACGCTGAGGTTCGTAAGTTGAGCTCCTCTGCAGAGGCTGCTGGGTCTACGCCTGCTGGGAAAACACCAGAAGTGGAGAAACGGACTGAGAACGTTTCCCCCGTTGTGCCCCCTGAAAAGGAGCATAAAAAAGAGAGACAACCTGAAGTCCCTCAGTCACCGGTGAAGGAAAGCCCTCCACCAAAGACTGGTCCAGATCAGAGAGAGGATCAGCTGGATGCTGTAGTTAAGCCTGCTGTTGACAGTAAAGACATCGTCATGGAGGCCAGTGGCGTGTTAGACGCTCAGAAGAGGAAATCACCCAGTGAGACAGACGGGGAGGAGACGCCAGAGAAAAGACCCCGTTTGTCCTCCGTTTCTTCAGTGTCTTCTGTCTCTTCTGCATCTCCTTCAGCTTCAGCCATGTCCAGCCCTGCAACACCTTCTTCAACCAGTCAGAGAGTTTCACCACTCAAGGTGAGAAAGCCTAATCCTCAGATACTCTGAGATTTCAGTGTTGGTGGCAAAGATTTGAAGCACGTAAAGAATTTAGTGTTGGAAAGTTTTCACAACAATATTCATAACTGAAAGCCTAGCAGTCCTCAACAGAAGACATATTGATGATCCAGTATTACATATCTGCTGTGAGTGGCAAAAGTACATGAACCTTTGCTTTCAGTACCTGGTGTGACCCCCCCCCCCCCCGGCAGCAATGATAACTGTTGATCAGTTCTGCTCACCTTGGAAGACTTTTAGTCCATTCCTCCGCTCAGAACAGCTTCAACTCTGGATGTTGGTGGTTTCCTCACTTTAACTGCAGCTTCAGGTCCTTCCACAACATCTGGATTGGATGAAGGTCAGGACTTTGACTTGGCCATTCCAGAACATGAACTTTGTTCTTCTTGAACCATTCTTTGGTAGAACCACTTGTGTGCTGAGGGTCATTGTAAATGGACTGTACTTACAGTATACAGCTCCTTTCTATCTTACTGAGATACTCAAAGTGCTGTACAACAATCTGTGTCTCATTAACCCATTCATACAGCTCTATACTAGATCTCTACACAGAATAATCAGAACTTTATCACATTCAGACACCGATGGGACACACATCGGAGGCAATGAGGGGGTTCAGTGTCTTGCCCAGGGACACTTTGGCATGAGACTGCTGGTGGATTCGAACTCCCAACTTTTTCATTGGAGGACAACTGCTCTAACCACTCAGCCACCCGCAGTGTCGCTGCATGACCCACCTTCTCTGAGATTCAGTTCATGGACAGATGTTCTGACATTTTCCTTCAGAATTCTCTGATATAATTCAGAATTCATTGTTCCATCAATGATGGCAAGAAGAAGTCCTGGTCAAGATGCAGCAGAACAGGCCCAAACCCTGATACTACCACCGCCATGTTTCACAGGTGGGATAAGGTTCTTCTGCAGGAATGCTGTTTTCCTTTCTCCAAACATGACACTTTTCATTTAAACCAAAAAGTTCTATCTTGGTCTCATCATCCACAAAACATTCTTCCAGCAGTCTTCTGGCTCGTCCACGTGATCTTTATCAAACTGCAGATGAGCAGCATGTTCTTTTTGGAGAGCAGTGGTTTCTCCTTCAACCTGCCATGACACCATTGTTGTTCAGTGTCTCCTGATGGTGGACTCATGAACATCAACATCAGTCAATGTGAGAGAGGCCTTCAGTTGTTAGACGTTACCCTGGGCTCCTTTGTGACCTTGCCCACTGTTCCACACCTTGCTCTTAGAGAGATCTTTGTTGGTCCACCACTCCTGGGGAGGGAACAATGGTCTTGAACTTCCTCCATTTGTACACCATGTGTCTGACTGTGGATTGGTGGAGTCCAAAGTCTGTAGAGATGTTTTGTAACCTTTTCCAGCCTGATGAGCATCAACAACTCTTTTTCTGAGCTCCTCAGAAATCTCTTTTGTTCCACCAACATGTTGTGAAGATCACACTTTGGTAGATCCCTGTTCTTTAAAGTAAATGGTGCCCACTCACACCTGGTCATCACTGATTGAAAACACCTGACACCTTCAGATTAATGATAATCCTAGAGGTTCACATACTTTTTACCACTAATATGTAACATTGGATCATTTTCCTCAATACATAAATGACCCAGTTTGATATTTTTGTCTCGTTTGTTTAACGGGGTTCTCTTGATCTACTTTTAGGACTTGTGTGAAAATCTGATGTTTTAGGTCATTCATGCAGAAACATAGTAAATTGTAAAGAGTTCACAAACTTCCCAGCACCACTGTAGCATTACTTCAACAGCTTTAAGTTCTCGTCCATGAACATCTTGTACCTTCAGTCCCATCGTCAGTTCCCCACATTCTGACGTGGACCTGGTTAATCAGGGTGACGTTTGAGCCAGCAAGGCTTTTTCTTTTACCGTCCCTTCCTCGTCATGTACCAGAGGTTGCTCGGAGTGCACACACACGGACACACACATGCACACGTTTCTGTATTTAAAATGACTGTTTAACACACTTTTTTTGTTGTTGTGCCTTTTCAGATTCCTGTGTCACGTATTCTTCCTGTTCCTCTGTCACCCAACCAGATCTCACCAAAACCTGCTCTCCAGGCCCCACTCAGCAGCCCTGGTCGTACCGGTGCGCGCACTTTGGCTGACATTAAAGCTAAAGCTCAGCTTGCACGAGCGCAGCGAGCAGCAGCTGCAGCCGCCTCGGCATCATCTGCATCGAAGGGCGTAGTTCCAGGCCCGGGGCCAGGGGGTGGTGTTGGTGATCAGAGGCAGCCCAGGTTTGTCCCCACCCTAACATCCCCACAGGCATTAACCAGGTTACCTGCCACCCCCACCAGCTGCACTCGTTCAGGAACACCCTCTCCTTGCCCAGTGAACTCTCTTGGTCTGCCAAGCTCAGACCGGTGTCAGACTGATGACGTGCACAAAGGTCACGCAGTTAACTCTGTCAGCACAGGACTCCAACACATTCAGAAGAGTTCAAACACATCAGCGCAGCCTTCATCCACGCCCGGTACACAGGAGCAGGTAGTCCCCAAGGTTTCTGGATCTCTAACCAGAATCAGTTCTTACATCCCTGCAAACAACCCCCTGGTGACTCAGCTTTTGCAGGGCAAAGAGGTTCCACTGGAACAGATCCTCCCAAAACCACTGTCCACCCTGCCCACACAGCCGTCTGCTGGTACAGTAAAAACACATGGTGTCGAACTGAAGGCTGAAAGGCCACTGGTGCAGCAGGTCAGCACAGGAGGACAGGCTGGAGTGTTCTCAGAATACGCTAAACACAAGAGAGAACTTCCCAGTAAGGAGACCCAGGAGCAGATCCTCCAGGCGCTGATGCAGAGGAACGTCCGGCAACTTTCTGGAGGTTTAGGCCCCCAGTCCTCCCAGCACAGAGTGCGTCCAATGATGCATACGGAGGAGCATCTGGACCAGTCCAGAGTTTCTGTTGGCTTTCTGCGTCGAAACCGGGTTCCCAGGCCTGCTATGACGGGACATTATCTTCTCAACGTGTCAACGTACGGCAGAGGAGCAGAAAGCAAGAAGCTGTCCCTCTGTCCCACCAGAGCTGGATCAAGTGTCAAAAGGGAAGGCACTGGGAGGGAGGAGGCCGCTGTAGAAGAACCCCCTGGTTCTGGAGTGAAAGCCGAGCCGCAGGGATGTTCTGTAACCAAGTGTGATGACCGAGGAAACGTTCAGCACTGCTCCACGGTCAAAACTGAGCCTGGATCAGAGGCCAGTGCAGCTGGTGGGGACACCACCACCTGTGCAAAAGCCAAAGACACCGTCCCTTTTTCTCAGCTTCGCCAAAATCACCTCGAACTCTGCAATCAAGGAAACTCCGAGCCATATCTCTCCAACACGGACCCAAGTCACCAGCGGCCAACTGCCTTTCAAAGCCAGAGGACGCTGGGTAATCAGGAGCCCGCGGTAGCAGCATGCTACGGCGGCACCGTCAGCGTGTCTGTACCTCACACTCTGAACCACAGCGCCGCGAGCACAGAGGCCGATGGAGGCATCTGCGGGAGCGTCATGTCCTTCTCGGTGACCGTCACCACCATTCCTGCCAACTCCATGTTAGAGCGCCGTAGTCCGGGCGAGCCCTCACCCAATCAGTCCTTCACCGAGGGCTCGGACATGGAGGACGTCCAGTCTAAATGCTACTGCCGACTGAAGGCCATGATTATGTGCAAAGGATGTGGCGCTTTCTGCCACGATGACTGCATCGGCCCGTCAAAACTCTGTGTCTCCTGTTTAGTGGTACAGTGACATGAACCCAGTGATAACTGATCTATGTGAGTAACTTTTACACATTGTTGAGGCACAGCAGCATCGGGGGGGGGGGGGGGGGGGATACTACGCAGCAAGTTCAACAAAACTAGGGTGTCCTCCCTCAGCCTGGACAGAAACTACAACTCTTCCAAGAAGTTACAGGTACTACAACAGATGTTTGGACAGATGTTCTGCTTTAATCTGTAGTCGTGCTCACTACTCGTCGTCTGACGCTTATTCCACTCAAAACACAGATTCAAGAAACGACGTTAAATGAGATAAACATCTTGTTGAAATAACAGAAAGTGAAGAATGAAGGTTAAAGATGACGAAGGGAAAGACACATCCCTCGTACCATCAAGTTCCAATAATAACTCTTCAGTTCGTTTGAATTAAACACTTTCAGCAAATTATCAATCAACAACTTGGCAACAGTCCACTGTAAATCAATAACTTGTTATAATATAACTTGTAATAATAGTTTTACACAATTCTAAAGCTTACTGCAGTCTAACTGCAGCTTTCTAAAAGTGCACAGTTGGAATGGACAAGTGGATTAAACATTTTAAACATATTTTAAAATATATATTTAAATCTATTTTAAATACTGAAATGCTTGAGTTAAATTAGAAAAATAAAATTTGACAGTTTTTTTTAAACTTGTGATTATAGGCTAGGCCTAGATCATATTAAATAAATTAGATGATTAAATAACAACGTGTCACAGACAACGTAAAAATAATAATCTGGCCTATCATCAGTACGATTTAGCAAAAAGAACGTTGAAAGTCCTAAACGTAGACCGGCTGTCAACCTCACGGACAAAATTGTTTCCACAGAAACTCTAGGAACCACGAGTAAACCTGCAGTCTGTTTGGGAAATATAGAACAAGATCATGGATGTTAGAATAAAAATTTTAAACCCTGTTCTGAATTTTCTGAGATTTTAACTTCATGTTCTTTGACGATCCAAAGTTTATTTTAAATCTTGCCACATGGGGCAGGTGTTGGTACAGTCCCAATGACAGTCACATCAGGAACAGGCTCAGTAAACCTGTTTGGCATCGTAGACCCCCTGACAACTAGAGAAGCTGCATTTCCTGTGAAAATACAGTGTGAATGCTTACAGCAGAAGAACTTTCTGAGAAACAGCTGAAAGTAGCTAAAACATGCTGAAATAGAAGAACAAGCTTAAATTAACAGAAGAAAGCAGAAGGAACGTTTGCCCCATTAGGCTGAAAGAAACCGAATATTAATAAGATTCACACAGTTAACGCTAACTGTGACGTCTGTTACCGTGGAGATTGTTTGGAGTCTTGTTTGTGACGCTGATCAGCTGATCAGCAGGACCTCTGCTTCGTGGTGTCCCCCTCAGGTCGAGTCTAAACAAACTGGCTCACCAACACAAACAACCAGCATCTGTTGTAGAAGAAACTATTTTACACTGAATAATCTTTTTTCACAATCGTTTTTTATTTTTTATTAAGGCTGTTGTAAAAAAAAAATCAATTTTTAATCAGTTTAGCAATCTGTCAGAAATGTGAGAGTTCGCCGATGTTTGCACTCAACTAGAGTAGTCCGATATATTTTTTATAAAGTTGTGTAGTTTTAAAAAGTGAAGGGAAAATGAATGTTGTATTTTTAGGACTTCAGGACTGACTGGACTGAACTTCTATTGTCGCCTCAGAGGAACTCTAGTTTATTAGAAAGAGCACGAGTGATGATCACGAGAACCTCCTGCTGGGATTTATGCAGCTTTTGGCAGGAAGTGCAACTAATACAAACTATTTTATGGAAAAGGTACATTATTGCAAAACACTGAAATTAAAAACTAAAATATATGTTTATAATGAATAAATAGAAATCATTACAAATACCACAATATATCCAATAATTACCCCACATAGATTTCACTTCATAACATATTACATTTGCAAACTCTTAAATTCTCCCTGGTTTTAAGGTACTAACTGATTTTGGCACTTAGTGAATTCACAGGAGAGAAATAATAATAATAATATATCAAATATATTCTTTTTGGCAACACATTTTTTATATTAAATTTAAAATCTAGTTACCTCCTGTTGTTCAAATTTAATTTACTTTTTCTAAAAAGCGGTTTTATTTTCTCTTACACTGTGTTCACGAGAGACTGACTCAAACCATTAAATAATAATAATAAAAATAAAGCCCTGACGTTCCTTGAAGGAATGCATATCGCCCGCCGCCCCGACACCGACATCATCTTGTTGAGGAATCAGTTGCAGCTTTTTGGTCAAACTTGGTCGTTTGATGCACAGTTGGTGCTCAGAGTGTTATGACTCTCAGCTACTGCCACCTCAGGTATTAGCTAAATGTTACTTTCATTCTGGAAAAGTCATTTATGTTGGCAAATGATGATTAGCTGATAAGAAAAGTCACTTTGAAAGTTTCAATAAAATGTGTCCAGGTGTTGATGACGAGTTGTTAACAAACAATCAGGGTTAAGTCAAGTCTCGGTCTGCATGAGGGGAATGACTCTCAGTAACTACCACACCAAGTTTAAGCTGGAACTGAAAAACTGGTCGAGTTCAACACATTTTTGTGTTTCAGGTCGGCTGGCTGTGGCGGCCATGTTGAACTGGTTTTAGCACCAAAAGGAATCGGTTGTAGAAGTCAACCCAGTGATTCTAAAAGTTTCAATGTTTTGCTAACCGTACACACACACACACATACACACACACACACACACACACACCACTGGCTACAATTTTCACTTTTGGCGGCGGGCAATAATCAAATGAATCAAATCAAGGGGAGACCTTTTAATCCTCTGTAAATACTTGCAGGTTTATTTATTTTTTGTGCGTTTCAACTAAATTTAATAATTAATTCTGTTGTGTTTGTGCACCGCACCCTGCTGAAGCACATCCAACCTTTTACGTCACGAATGATTCTTTATCTTTACTTGTTGTACAACGACGTGCACCGAGAACAGTTAAATATTGTTTTTACATTTCCAAGTGCAATGTGAGGAATTTGACGTTGCGCTTTTTTAATCACCATTTTAACTTAAAAAAGTTCAGTGTGAACTTACTTCATGCTTTTTTTTTTAAATATATTTTATAATCCAATGGGCAAAAAGCTATTTTTGTTTTATAGCAGTTAGTTTGAAGGTAACAAGCCAAAGTCACCTTAAAATAAATCAGACGTTGTTTATATTTCAGACTAGTTAATCAAAGTAATATATTTTAATTAATATATTTTATTATAAAAGATATATTTGCTCTTTTCTCTTATTTAGACAAATCAACAGGGTATTTACAACAGTACTATACTGGCTGTACGTTTTTCTTACTATTCTTTGTGGCAGGACAAACGTAATTATTTGACTGTGTCTCAAGTTGCCCGAGTTTGTCTGAAGATGTGTATGAAGCGTCTTATCGATCAATCCATTGATCTGTGCTTTTCATAAACATCGTCTGTTTCTGTGGAGGTGGATGGGACTAAATTAAATAAATGCATGCATCATGAAATTAAATACAAACATCATAAAATAAATAAATGTACCAATAAATGTCCCATTAAATAATTATATGAATTATTTAATACACAATTTAAACATTAAATGTACAATTATTAAATATACAATCATGTATTTAATAATTGTATATTTAAGGAAGTGTTGAAATGATACATTTAATTATTTAATGGGACATTAATAATTTATAATTATTTATTTTATGATGTATTTATGTATTTAATTCTGTCACACCCTCCACCCTCCACAGTCTCCATCTCTCAACACTTAAACATCCAATCTGTTTAATCAGTCGCCTCTTGTTGGTATTTTCTATGAAATGACGGAGACGTCTCCACACAACGCTTAGAGTTTTCACTAAACCTGATCTTTATGTGTTTAATTTGAAAGTTGTCACTGATCTCATGTGAACATGATCGATTTGGCAGAATGTGATCTATAAATGCTGGATTGACTCGTGTCAGCTTCGGGACTGTAAGGCAGCTGAAACGTTTCGGTGGCTGCACTTCCTGTTCGTGTGCATGTTAGAGGAGCAGCCGCCGTGATTTCCAACAGTTGCGTTTTTGTTTCATGTATTTGTCTCGTTTTGTCTCCAGTATAACTCCGGTGAATGTAACATAGTAATCTGCACTTGTAAACAAAATGTATTTTATCAGAAATGATTGGCTATTATGAATAAATATTAAAATACATGTTTTGTTCATTAAGTTTTGTCATAACAAAAAAAACATGCACATAAAAGCTGTTAAGTTAATTTGTTTTTTTAATGTATGTGCTTTGATTGATTACTGTCTTAGAAGTTTGTCTTTTTAGGGTGTTTCATGGTTTGATTTATACCTGGATTACTGAGCAGGAACTGTGGGGTCACATGATATAAGTGTGTGTGTGTGTATATATATATATATAATATAATATACATATTGCACATAAACTACATATATATACTATACACAGTGAGGAAAATAAGTATTTGAACACCCTGTGACTTTGCAAGTTCTCCCACTTAGAAATCATGGAGGGTCTGTAGTTTTCATCTTAGGTGCATGTCCACTGTGAGAGACACAATCTTAAAAAAAAATCCGGAAGTCACAATGTATGATTTTTAAAATAATTTATTTGTGTGTTACTGCTGCAAATAAGTATTTGAACAGCTGTCAATCGGCAACAGTTCTGGCCCTCAAGGACCTGTTAGTCCACCTCTATAACGTCCACCTCCACTCCACTTATTATTCTAAATCAGAAGCACCTGTTTGAGGTGGTTAGCTGCATAAAGACACCTGTCCACCCACACAATCAGTCAGAGCATTGAAGATGGGTCGTGGCTGAATCTTCCAACATGACAATGACCTGAAGCACACAGCCAGGAGAACCAAGGAGTGGCTCCGTAAGAACATATCAAGGTTCTGGAGTGGCCTAGCCAGTCTCCAGACCTGAACCCTGTAGAAAATCTTTGGAGGGAGCTCCAACTCTGTTTCTC